CCAAACGATCTCAGTGGTAAAAGATAGCACTTACACCATAATAATAATAATAATAATAATAATAATAATAATAATAATAATAATAATAATTAAACTGATGTTAAACATATATTAAATATAAGTGTTAATTTAAGTTTTTTTCATAAGAATTATTTAACAATGTTAATATAAGTGATTTAATTTATTAATAATAAAATGAAATAATATAATTTAATTACATTAAGGATGATCTAAATGAATGTTAAAATTAAATTTAGTGTGTAAATTACCCTAATTTTCTCCATATAAGAGATCTTCGCTAAATTGCAAATTTTCAACACATAAACCAAACCCAAAGTTTCTTTTGATATCAATGGAACTTCTATTGCCAAATTCTGTAAACTCAACCCCCTTAACAACTTTAGGCTTCCTGGAGAGAGCTGCCGTCGCCTACAGCGACTCTCCTTCCGTCGTCTACAATAATGTTTCCTACACATGGTCGCAAACCCACCGTCGATGTCTCCAGATGGCGTCGTCTTTGACATCCCTCGGCGTACAACGAGGCCAAGTGGTTTCAGTTGTTGCCCCCAATGTCCCTTCCATGTACGAGCTCCAGTTTGCTGTCCCCATGTCCGGAGCTGTCATTAATAACATCAATACTCGCCTTGATTCCAACACTTTGTCGACACTCTTACAACACAGTGAATCCAAGCTTGTTTTTGTGGATCACCAGTCTAGTTCGCTTATTCTTGAGGCAATCTCGTTGTTTCCGAGGAACACAAAGCCCCCACAACTGGTCCTCATTGACGACGAGATGGAGTCATCAGGAAGCAAAAGCCTATCGTCAACCGTTGATTTTCTTGATCATTACGAGGGGATATTGGAAGATGGTGATCCAAAATTCAAGTGGGTAAGGCCTAAGAGTGAGTGGGATCCAATGGTGTTAAACTACACATCAGGCACAACATCTTGTCCCAAAGGTGTGAGCTTAAGCCATAGGGCTACTTTCATAATCACCATGAATGCTTTGGTTGATTGGTCGGTTCCAAATCAACCTGTTTATTTATGGACTTTACCCATTTTCCATGCTAATGGGTGGAGTTTCCCTTGGGGAATGGCCGCCGTAGGAGGGACCAATATTTGCCTCCGAAAAGTTGACCCTCCATTGATTTACCATTTGATTAGAAAACATAAGGTGACTCATATGTGTAGTTCTCAACATGCTATCAAATTCACGAGACTTTGAGCCATTGGACCACCCTGTCCAAATTCTAACCGCTGGTTCACCCCCACCAGCACCAGTCCTATCCAGAACCGAGTCAATGGGCTTTGAGGTGAGTCATGGTTACGGGTTAACCGAAACAGGAGGAATCGTTGTCTCATGTGTGTGGAAAAAGGAGTGGAACAAACTTCCATCAACAGAAAGAGCCAGGCTAAAGTCAAGACAAGGAGTTAACACCGTCGCTTTAGCAGAAGCCGATGTTTTGGATCCCGAGACGGGGGAAAGTGTGAAACATGATGGGAAAACAGTTGGCGAGGTTGTTTTACGAGGTGGGTCTGTCATGTTAGGGTATCTCAAAGACACTGAAGGGACGTCCAAATGCATGCGTGAAAATAGGTGGTTTTACACCGGAGACGTCGGTGTAATTCACCCAGATGGTTATTTGGAAATCAAGGATCGATCCAAGGATATAATTATAAGCGGTGGGGAAAATATAAGCAGCCCCGAAGTTGAGTCGGTGTTGTATTCACATCCTGCGGTTAATGAGGCAGCGGTGGTGGCTAAGCCTAATAAATTTTGGGGTGAAACGCCGTGTGCGTTTGTTAGTTTGAAGAAGGATGGTGAGTTGACTCGGATACCGAGTGAGACGGAGATTATACTGTATTGTAGGGATAAGTTGCCGCATTATATGGTGCCCAAGACGGTGGTGTTCCAAAAGGAGCTCCCCAAGACATCTTCGGGGAAAGTACAAAAATTCATTCTCAGGGAAATTGCTAAGGCTATGAGTTGAATTGACTCGGTTTGGTGTTGTGATCAATTTATTTTACGTGTAGTGTCAACATTTTGTTCAATAATTGGTGCACGGTGGTTAAAAGTCTTAAATAATAATATAAATTGGTATAGAAAGAAATACTCTATCTGATATATTAATCAATTGGAAACAAGTTGAAGCTTGTAACTACAAAGTTTTCTTAAGACAAATTTTTGACGACTCCTATGGTGCTTGAGATCGTTAGTCGTCTAGCTCACAAGATACAACAACTAGATGATTAGATATAGTTGCACATCTGCAGAGATCACGAACCCTTCGACTATCACCGAAAACTAGAGAAGAAAAAATAATTCTTTTTAAATTGTGTTTAACGTAATAGGTTTACACGATATTTATAGAGTTTTACATCAGAGAATAATTGAAAATAATATATTCTAAAAATTAAGGTCATTAATAAGTATTCAAATAAATTCAGAAGGAAGCCATTAATATTGTATTTAATCGAATATATTCTAAAAATTAAGGTCATTAATAAGTATTCAAATAAATTCAGAAGAAAGCCATTAATATTGTATTTAATCGAATATATATTTGTGAACTGCAAGATATACTATATTAATATTCAAATTTAAGGAAATCATAGTATATCCTATTAATTCAGAATATTCAAAAGATATGATACATTTATGGGGGGGGGGGGGAAATTAATTCATAATGGGTAAAATAACCACAAGCCCTGACCTATCCGAACATTCGCGTCGCCCACATTGTGCAGGTACATCCTGAACCCCGATGAGTTCAACAAGCTTTGATTTGCACCCCTCTTACGCCTGCGTGCAATGTACAATTTCAATTCAAGTCATTAATAACCAGTAAGTGGGTTGGTGTTATATAAACTATCCCCGTACATATGAGATACCGTTGTAAAGTTCTCATATAATAGAATATGAATCAATAAATTCTTCATTTGAATCTTTACCCATTAAAAATATGGCTCAAAGTTTCCAATTTATCATAACTTTTCTAACAATTATGATTATCTTGAATGTGTCATTTAATTTTTTAACTGTATAGTACGAATAAATGACCTCATAATTTAAAAAATTGTTGTTGTTTTTAGAGATTTCGAGTTTAAGTACGATGTTTACAAAATTATTTGAGTGTTCATTGTTAAATAATTGAAAAAATCTTTTGAATAGATATTACGTTGTAGTCACTCAAGTTAATAAAAATATATTATTTTTTAATAGTATAAACTACAACAAATTTGAAAAAATCATTCCCTTTTAATTAAAATTACACGTCATTCATTTTTTTAGCATTTAGAGGTTGGCATTGAGAGGGAGAGAATTAAATCTCTAATGACAATTTCATAGGGTTGGTGTCAATCGACTTATAACCTTTGGCACCTTCTGGGGTTAACTTATAAATTAAAAATTACTTGATCTAGTGAAGAATTTAAGAGTTAAAATGATAGTTTGGTCGGCATTAAATTATGAATTCAATTCAATACAACTTCTATTTATTAAAATGTGAAAAGAGTAAAAAAAAAAGCGACATAATTATAAAATATGAAAAAAAATTAAAACATCTAATAGTTAAAATTATCAATAAGAGTGCGAAAAAAACTGATCCGACTGATTCGATCCATTGATTCGAAAATTTGAATATTTGATTTAATTTTTAATTTTCAAATAATACAGATTAAATATTTAAAAAATTAAATAATTAAATTAAATATGAATCAGATAAATTTTAATTTCAAATCATCCGAAAATTGAATTAAAAACTGAGCCGCTAAAAAAAATTTAGCTAAAAAGTCCATATTTCTCATTCAAAATTTAGCTAGGTCCAGCCAACCAGCCCGCTGCTAGCCTGAAATGCCCAATGCCATAGCCTTAAATAATTGAATTTCTCATTCAAAATTCACTCGACTTCAAATTCCAAATTAAGCTAAAAAGTCCATATTTCAATTGAATTTCTCTGTCAAAATTCACTCCAAACTTCAAATTCCAAATTAAGCTAAAAAGAACGCTTCCATATTTCAATTGAACGCTGCTAGCATGATTTTTTTGACAAATTTTAGATGACAATATTTCCATAATGTTTTATTTGAAGACAAAAAAACACGATTAAAATAGTCATTTTTGTCCTTATCTTTTTTTAGGAGTATTTTGATTTTCGACATTTTATTTTAGGGTAAAATGACTCCTATTTTGAAACGTTAATTATTTGTTAACTAACAGTATCAATCCATAGATGGATCTTTTTATCTCAAAATGAAATGTTGGATGCCAAAATACTCTAAAAAAAATAATTAATTAAAATTACTATTTAATCAAATATTATGATTTTTTTTATTTTATGTATAAACACCATGATATTACATTTAACTTCTTTAAATAAATCTCAAACAAAGGTAGATGGAGGTGTGTAGAGCATGGTAAAATACGGAAATGGAGTTCAAATCAAACTTTCTTTAATACCATGTAGATTAAAAAGAAAAAACTTCCGAAACTGAGAATTTTGTGTGACATGAAGATAGAATAAAAGAGTTTAAGGGGAGAAAAAAGAGAGAATTTTATGTTGAAAACACAATTTAAATTAAATTATGGTGTTTTTGAAATGGCTCAAAATGTAGTTTCTGTACTTTTAACCAAGAGAGTAAAGATCCTTTAATGTTGTCTGGGATACACTAATTACTTACATTTGAACTCAAATATATTAAGGCAAAATGTCAAAATTAATTTTAATGTTTACTTTTATTATTTTTTTAGTATTGACTTGACACATGTTGTATCATTAACTTAAGTGACACGGTATGTGAAAAGCCAATACTTTAATATATTTAAAAATATCACGTTAGCGATATGTGTCGACCGTTAGTTAACTAACGGTTTCTATCTAACATGGACCCTTATATTCAAAAATTAAAATATTGAAAGATAAAGTGTTAAAAAAAAGACTAAAATTACCATTTGAACAAATGTTATTGACTAATTTTGACATATGCGATATATTAAATCACTTCGTGTACAAACTAATTGACATAAACTCGGGTTCTAGAAATCAAAACCTCGGAGTTTAAGCGTTGATGTCTTTGGGAAATGGTGAATTGATCCTAAAAACATGTTCCTCACCCGTCCATTTATCTATTTTAACAACCCAATGGCTTCTTTTTCTGGGATTAACTCCATCATCACCCTTCTTGTGCTCCCCTTTTCTAATCACCAGCAGGCCTTCTCCAATGGGGAGAAAATAGGTCCTAAATCCTTCAATACTACTGCTGCAACCTGCAGGTCCCCTTCGAAGGGCATTGTACCCTACAATAAGGGCACTTCCTCCATGCTTTGCACCCTCTTGTGCTGCCTTCAGTACTGTCTTATGATCAGTTATGTTACAGTCAATAAGCACAAAATCTGCGTTTCTGTAATCATTTAGAAGCTTCTTGGCATCCCCAATGACAAAGCTGATGCAATCTCCATAGTTTCTTAGAGCACATTTGGATGCTTCAAAATAGTCAAGACTGTTTAAGATGCACACCACTCGGCCGCCGGTTTGACGTGCCGCCGCCACGAGGGCTAGCGCGGTGGATCCAACGATTTTAGCGCATGTCATGACCATGAGCTGTGCGTTGTTTCCGGCCGCAATGGCCGACATGAACTCAGCTACGCCGGGCTCTTTGCCTCTTCTTCCCTACGAAATACAACAAAATATATATACTTCAGAAGAGAAATTATTTGGCAAGTGCAAATAGAATTAATACAAGTGATCGGTTTTGCTTACCATATTGACGGCTCGGAGATAAGCTTTGGTGGCATTCTCAGCAGACCAACAACAAGCCATTTTCCCCTACTGTCTTAGATTTTATTCTTCTCTTGTTTCGGACTTGAAAGTATGTTCGGTAATAGAACTATACCTTTGGTTGATACTTGAGAGAGAATGCCAATTATATATATATACATATATATATATATATATAGTGAAAAAAAAAAGAATCCCTTGAATTTCGATTCATTGGATTCAGAAGGTAGTTATGATAAACAAATTGAAATATATGAATTTTGATAAAAAGATGAAATTTCAAATATGTTGAGATATATAGGAGGAAAAGGCTGAATAAAAAACAATGCCGCCCCACCCATCCAACACCGTCTTCCTCCCTCTTGGATTATAATATTTCCATCGCATGCAAACAACTGAGGTAGGTTCTTATTCAACACATGCACCCACATGACAACTGTCAATGTCTTTTTTCAAAAGGAAAAAAAGACAATTAAAATATGTCGGACCAAACCCCGTTGTCATAGAAATTCGACTCACTTAAATGAACAAAAACTCAAAAGCCTTTGAAAATTAAGCGTGAGTAGGTGTTCAGTTGTTAGTCCTTCATTTCAGGGATCGATCTAGGGATCGCAACTTTCTAAAAATTTTACTTTTTCATATTTTTTACGAATTATTTAATTTTATACTCTTAAATTTTTAATTTAACTTTTAATTCATATCATGAATATAAAATTTTGTGTCTGTCCTTGTCCTGCTTCATAACGGGCATGTTGTATGATACAATGAAATACCCATTATTTCATATGGCCCTACAAGTGATGGAAACAATATGAAAACTTTGTTGCTCGGACGTTTACATCCTTATCTTCCACAAGTGTTTCTGACTGTCTTTTGTCTTGTCCGAAGTTATGAAGGATAATGTCATGTCCCCCTCGCACTTGCTGGGAATTTCAGTCAATTGCTTAAAGATAAAACTCTGACATTAATGGTCTTAAAGTGGAACCGGAAATTTCCTCGACAGTTGTTGAAAAGGAAAAAAAAGGGTTAAAAACATGGATGTACCGCGCCATTAATAATTATTCATTATATTTTAAGATTTAAACTTGTGAACTAAATATTTTTGTTAATAAGATGATATGATACCAACTATATAACTAAGCTATGTTTTGTTCTTTGCTAACTGTATATTGTTCTTTGGCTTTCTTGTCTAAACAAGACAAAATGATAATAGATTTAATGCAGCTGTTATATGTTGTACCTAACTTTGGTATCATATTTGAGCTACAAAACAGAAATGATATCGTGACGGCCTAACTATAAGTCACGAATTTAAAATCATGGTCAGCACATTGTCTCGAAACTATTTACCTTAACTTTTGTCTGAAAATCAAGATCCAAATTTAATAATCGAGTTCTACGAATCATTCCCTGCACCGATGGCGAGCCGCCCCTGCTCTTTCTTTATAATTTTGGTGGCCTTCCTAGATGCTGATCACGTTGCAGAAACTTTGGTTTTCGCTTAAACCACTCCCCAAATATTCACATGTTTGTTGTGATGTCCACTACAGGATTTTAAATGATGCGCGTCTCCCCATGCAATGCTTTTATTGCTTAAAATCAGTGAAAATTTATGGAGATAACACAAAAAAAAATCACCTCGACGCACTTTATTTACATGTAAGACGTCCTTTTATCTTTATTTATAAATCTAATATTCTTGTAGGAATGCACATCCCATGCACCGCACCTTACGTTGATCTGACGTCACGTGAGGAAAGGCGCAATCCATACACCGCGCCTTGTGAAACGTGTAAAAAATCGGGAGTTAGTTTTGTAAATATTTTTAAAATGACCTAATATGTAATTAATTTATATTAGAGTGATATTGTGTAAAACTGTCAACTTTATTTATTTATTTTTTGTGTGTGAAAAAAACTTTCTAAATTAAAATCTTTAAATATTCTTTTGAAAATTATTTTAGAACTCGATAAATTTTTATTTTTGTATGAAATTACACAATACGTATAATTTCGTATAGGAAAACTTTGAGGGTAAGTGTTTTAAAATATGAATAATTTTATAAAAGTTTTATGACTATTATTTCTTTTACAAAATGATGATGATGATGATAATAAATATTTTATAATTTAAAAAATTATAAATTTCATATATTTTTGAAAATTTTATTGACTTTTAAAATTATTTGTTTAAAAATATAAAAAATATTAAAATAAACTTTTAATTACAATTGAGGGATCAAATGAATTATTATTCATTAATTATTATTTTTAACAACAGTTAATAATGTTTATTTATTTTTAATAAAATTATTTTGATTTTTGCATGAAATTAAACAATATATATAATCTATTATAGGAAAACTTTGAGGGTAAGTATTTTAAAATATGAATAATTTTATAAAAGTTTTATAACCAGTATTTCTTTTATAAAATGACGACGACGATGATGATAATAAATATTTTATAATTTAAAAAATTATAAATTTCATATATTTTTGAAAATATTATTGAATTTTAAAATTAATTGTTTAAAAATATTAAAATAAACTTTTAATTACAATTGAGGGATCAAATGAATTATTATTCATTAATTATTATTTTTAACAACAATTAATAATATTTATTCATTTTTAGTAAAATTAGAATTTATTATTTATTTTATATTTTTTAAAATTAATATTAGAAAATTGATCCCTCGAGGTGATATTTTTTAGCCATACATTCTTTTTTTATTGAATTTTATTAACTTTTAATTCTTTTTTTATTGTATTTTTATTGATATTTTAAAAAAATGAATAATAATTCATTTGACCTCTCAATTGTAATTAAAAGTTTATTTTAATATTTTAATATTTTTAAACAATTAATTTTAAAAGTCAATAAATATTATTAAATGTTGAAAATAATATCACACAAAAACATAAATAAGCAAAGTTGACATTATTATACAAATATCATCATAACAAAAATTAATTACATATTCAGCATCATTTTAAAAATATTTACAAAATTAGCACCCGATTTTTTACACAATGCACGGTGCATGGCCGCTCCTTCTTCCACGTGGCGTAAGACGCGATGCATGGGCCGGACCTTCTTGCAAAGGGTGTTAGATCAGTAAATAAAGATGAAAGGGTGTTTGATAGGTAAATAAAGTTAGTCAGGGTGATTTTTGGGTGTTATAGCCAAAAAGTATTAGGTATGTAAATGAGATGGGTAAATCACGAGTCATTCGAGATCGAAGTTTGGTCAATTTTTTAATTAAATGAACTCGAAGCGGGCTCAATTCTATTCAAGTTTTTTCGAGTTCAAGTTGAGTTTCAATTTTATATTTTGAGTCAAGTTTGAAAATTTAAATTTTATGAGTATTCGAATTGAATCGAGTTTCAATTTTTATTTCAAATTGAAGTAGAGCTTAACAACTTTAAAATCGTAAATTTTTTAATCGAATCGAGCTCGATAATACTCAAACTCGACTCAACTAATTTACATACCTACTGAGTATAAGTATTACTATAGCTTCACCACGAAAAAAAAGCAAAATTTATTATAGATTCACCGGCCAAGATAATAAATAAATATTTTAATTTATAATAATATGATATCTCAACACCCCATAAAATATATGTTAAAATTGTCAAATTTAAAGTATCTCGATTGTAAATTCAAATTCAGGTATCAAACTTCCGCAACCACAAGCCAATCGAAATCAACAAAACTTTTAAGTTAGAACATTTGGGGTTTACGTTAATTTTGGACAGTTCGTCATCTTTAACAAATGTCGTTTTTGAAAAAGTATAAATTATTTTTTATTATCTTATAAGTATTGTTTTTTATTATAAATATTAAATATAATAACTTTTAAATATAATAACAAATATTAAAACATTATATTTTATTAAAATAATAGATAATATTAGACAAAATTGCCCAGATAATGATGTCAAATAAAGTCAATATATTTAATATTGATTTAAATTGTGATATATTAATTGTTTATATTATATAAATTTTTGAAATATTTATTCATTTAATCGTTTTTCTGTTTTTCCCTTCACTTTAAAAGTAGTCGTTTTTGTTTTTTTAACAAACAACGATATCATTATTAGCGTTGATTATCGATTGTATGTATTTATTATTTATTATTTACTTTATTATATTATATATTTATAATTTTAGTTTTTAATAATTATACTTTTATGACTTTTTTTTATGATACGTTTTTTTTGTTTCACCATTTTTATTAAATTTTGTTAGGATTGGATTTGAAGTCTGTTCGACTGATCACGATGATGCAATTGTTATTTTGTTGATCTTTCCTGTTTTGGAACATTTGATTAAACTTGGATACACGATTTGCGTCCCTAGATAGTTTTCTCACAACGTTCGATTTTTTATCTGTGATTTTCAGTGGTCTTTTAGTAGTTTAATCCCCTTTTATGGTTCATTTGCCGATGAAGTCAGATTTGTTTATATATGTCTTTTTTTTTTACAAGTTTTTTTGATGTATTTTAACCATTTTTATATAGTTATTGTATGATTTCGGGTGACTAGTTTAGTATGTCAATTATTATAAAAAAATATTTTAATTATACGTTCATGTTACGAACTTTATTTCAATTTTAAATATTTTCTCTTTTAAATAAAACTAATAGCTCTATTTACATAAAAATATTTATTTATTTATTTTTGATTAAATAGAGAGTATTATATCTTCAAAGTAAATATCAAAATTTAAACTCACATAAAATAGAATATCACTAGCATACTTAACCCCTCAACTAATTAATTAATCTAAATATTAATTTCTTTTTATAATATCAAATCGTCATTGCATACGCACGAAGGTCCAAGAAATGAATGTGGTAGACTATTTTAACACACTGCAGCCGTTGAAAAGACTCCCATAAACCTGGCCGAAAGAAGCCATACTTTAAAGTGCAGGTGGGAAATCAGTCGCTCAACCACGCTGTGCCTATATAGAAGCTAAACAATACTACTTTGGGGGCAAGCACATGATACATATACAACACATTTATCTGAAAGTGAGAGACATAGATTATAGGGATATTAATGGGGGAAGATAAAGGAACTCTTTGCGTCACAGGAGGGACAGGCTATGTTGCCTCCTGGCTCATTAAGCTGCTTCTCCATCAGGGTTACTCTGTTCATACCACAGTTCGAGCTGATCCGGGTAAACTGATACTATAATTTTTTTTATAACTACTGGTATCAATCTAATTTATATTAATCAATAATCCCTTTTGAGTTATTTTTAAGCCCCGCTATGTGCAGGAAACAAGAGAGACCTTAGCTTCCTCTCCAGCCTGCCAGGAGCCGACGAGAAGCTCAAAATTTTCACAGCAGATCTCGACCGTCCCGATAGTTTCGACGCGGCAATTAAAGGATGCAAAGGAGTTCTCCATGTTGCCGCTCCCGTGGATTTCCCGGCCAAGGATCCAGAGGCAGTAGTGACACAAAGATCAATCAATGGATCGCTAGGCATCTTGAAGTCATGCTTAAGGTCGAAAACAGTGAAGAGGGTCGTTTACACTTCTAGTATCGCCGCTGTATATAACAACATTCACAACAAGGATGTGGAGATGATGGACGAGAGTTACTGGTCCGATGTGGATTGCATTAGAGAAACACTTGATCCAAGCGAAAGCTCTTATGCCATTTCCAAGACATTGACGGAGAAAACAATGTCTGAATTTGCAGCACAACATGGATTGGATCTGGTGACTGTCATTCCTCCTATGGTTCTTGGTCCCTTCATATGTCCAAAGATGCACGGTACAGTGCGCGCAACACTGGCTCCCATCCTAGGTATAAGTTGAAGTAATCTTGATTTCGTTTTTTTAATATAAAATATTTATATCCGACACTCGTATCAATCGCATATTCGAGTATCTGTTCAGGGAACAAGGGGGACTATCATTTTCTTATCAATGCTGCAATGGTGCACGTTGATGATTTGTCGAGGGCACTTATCTTCTTGCTAGAGCATCCGGAGGCAAAGGGGAGGTATAATTGTTCCTCGGACACTGTAACTATTCAACAAGTAGTTGAAATTCTTTCAACTTCTCATCCAGAATTCAGAATTGCAGAGTGAGTAAATCAGTTGGACCCAACACCAAAATTTGACCTTTAAACTCATATAGATTGTATTATTAATCTTGGGATTTATTAATATTCTTTGCAGATCTGTAGGAGAAGCTAAAGGTCCTAAATTGCCTGGTTTGTCGTCAAAGAAACTCATGGATTTGGGCTTCAAATTTAAATACGGGGTTAAGGATATGTATGAGGGAGCCATTCAGTCTTGCAAGGAAAAAGGGTTGTTGGAGTAAACATATATGACTAAGTTTGACAATATGTATCGTGGTGGTAAACGTTTGCAAACAATGTGAACTGATTGTTTTCATATTGCATTTTGGTCCGACTTGATTTATCTTCAGTTGAATTTTCATGATTCGGTGAAGTTCCGATATCAGTACAATACTTTGTTGTTTGAATATATATATATATATATTTGATGGACTGATAATGAAGTAAAAAGTTTCCAAAAATGAGTTGAGGATGTTGTAAATTTGCAAGACTTTGATTGAAAAGGCAGTTCTTCAATTTGCAGCAGAACATGGGTTGGATCTTGTAACCATCATCCCTTCTTTGGTTGTCGGTCCTTTCATTTGTTATCTGTTAGTTTTTCCACTAAAATTGCAGAGATCAATTTAACTCCGTTCAGGGAAAAAGGATGAGTTTAGTTTTCTACTAAATATGTCAATGGTGCACGTTGATGATTTAGCAAGAGTATTTATCTTTCTCCTCGAGCATCCTGGGGCAAAAGGGAGATATATTTGTTCCTCGGACACAGTAACTATTCAAAAAATAGTAGAAATTCTTTATAATAATCATCCCGAATTCACACTTCCAACAGTAGAGTGAGTACCAATTTTTGTTTTACCGTAGCATTTTCTCAACAATTTAAAGCTTAATTACCCTTTTGATCTTGGGGATTAATTGTTTTTTTGGTTTATCTTTTTTCAGGACACTAGCAGAAACTGAAAGTAGTAAAATGCCTTGTTTCTCATCAAAGAAACTCGTGGATTTGGGTTTCAGATTCAACTATGGGGTGGAAGATATGTATGATAGAGTTATTAAGTGCTGCAAGTAAAAAAGGGTTTCTCTAGTAAGGTCATGAACAATATGATTATGTATATCGTAGTGAAGTTCATGAAGATCTTTATCTCTGGTTTAATAACAGGAAAATCAATGTGTTTTCTGTTAGATTCTTGTTTTACTGAAGAATGAACTTGTTCGTATGTTTATTTCTTAATGAGAAACAAATAAATGTCATGAATATATCATCGATCGTACAATCCGATTGAGCGTCGTTAATTCTTCGTCTGAATTTTCGCTTATCTAATGGTATGGACTTAATTTTCAACAAAAAAAAAAATGGTATGTACTGCCCAGATTTAAACATTGCCAAAACTGACGGACAATCCAGTAAATTAACGGCCATTCTCACACTGCGCCATCTTTCACTCGTACAATTGCAAATGCACGCACTATTTTTCTTTCCATTTTCTCTCCAGTTTTTCTTTATCGTTATTTTCTTTCTATTTTTCCCCTTCGACTCTTCGATTCTTTTAATTCTATGTTCTTTTTTAGATCTGGAAATCATCTTGTTTTGCTTGAAAAAAATCCACGGATTTCATAATCTGTGATGTCGTTTTCGGATTCCGAGCACGGTGGTGGAAAGGAATACAAGGTCTTTCGTCAGTTCAGCCGCGATCGTAAGTCCTCTCCATTTGAACTAATTGTTTTCCTTTTTTTTTTTTTGTCTCCCAATTATTTTCTGTTTGTTTCCCTGGAATCTCAAGATTTTGAAACCTCAACTTAGAAGTTTAGAGATCAATTTGCATTCTCCGTATCTGAACTAATGCTCATGGATTACTATTGTATCTACTATTACTAATACGAAGAATTATTACGAGGATAGCGGTTTCTGATAACAGAGGTTAACACTAGCATATAAATGTGATCTCTTACTATTCAAGCATCGGTATCTGAAGGACTTTGGCTTATCATTTTGATGACCGATATTCGTATTTTCGCAGGGCTATTATACGAAATGCTTGGAGCTTCATCATCTGATGGTGGAAAATCGACTTGGAAGGTACTCATAATGGATAAAGTGACCGTCAAAGTGATGTCTCATTCATGTAAAATGGCAGATATCACAGATCAAGGAGTTTCCCGTAAGTCTTTTTCAAACATTTACGACAATAATGAAGCAAAATTTAATTCTATTTTTTTTCCAATTTGGAACTTACAATAGATTTTTCTACATTTCAGTGGTGGAAGACATTTTCAGGAGAAGACAGCCATTGCCTACCTTGGATGCTATATATTTCATGCAGCCAACAAGAGAAAAGTAAATCTTCTTTATCTTTTCCTACTGAATTTCGTTTTACTTTTAATAACATGTTGATATTCGCTTTTGACCTCTTCTCGGCTCGGTTGCAAAAGCTGTAACAATATTTCAAAACTCAGAACCTATTTTTAACACCATCTTTTGGTAGCATGCAGTATTATCATGTTCTTATCTGATATGTCTGGAAGGGAGCCTTTATACAAGAAGTACGTGAATGATTTTTCCCAGAAACTTTGTTCTATTTGATTAGTGGTTTAGTTCTTTCAGTTTGGAATGAAATTGTCTGATAATTTTCTCTGGTCTCCATCCCCTTTTTCATCCAGGGCATTTATATTCTTCAGTTCACCTGTTCAAAAGGAATTAATTAATCACATCAAAGCCGACACAAGCGTGTTACCTCGTATAGGTGCATTAAGAGAGGTCTAATTTCTTTTAATATTAGTTCTTTCAACATTTTTTACTGAGATTATTCTTTTTTGATTTATCATCTAATTTCTTGTTTGATAATATGCAGATGAATTTGGAGTACTTTCCTGTAGATAGTCAGGTAAGGCAACGGAATTTATTACACTTGCATGTTTCTATGCCTTTATATCTATTATAGCAGAATCTTAATAATCTATGATGGGTATTTGAAGGACACAAAACGTACCATTCAACGCTAATTTTTATGGCTTATGTGCCATAAATGATACCATTGAAGTTATAGTTCAAATGTACCAGATGTTTGATTACCGAAGGTATAACCATTGTGTTCTAGGACTGGAATCACAAATGTTTTTGCGTGCAACAGGGAACAATGGTCTAGGAGAGTGATGATCATATAAATTGCCAATGAGCTCCAGTACTCAGTAGTTTGGATTATGGTCTTAGATTGAGTTAAGGTCGGGTTAATTATTAGAAAAGTACATTTATCCACCAAGACTTTTTAATGCAGGCGTTCATCACTGATCATGATTCAGCCTTGGTAGAACTTTTTAGTGAAGATGCAGAGAAGTCTAAGAATTTCGAAATTTTGTTGAACGTAATGGCAACTCGAATTGCCACAGTTTTTGCCTCGTTGAAGGTGAGAATGGTATAAGAAATTAGTAAGCAACTATGGTACTTAAATTAAAAGTGAAAGTATGATCTGACTCACTAATGAATGCATGTGCTGTTAGCTTTAACAATTTATGCTTTATATGCCTTGTAAGCACATTTTATGGCGATTTTTCTTGTGAAAGCAACACTTTCCTGGAAATAAATATGCTTACTATTAAACTAATAACTCGGTTTGGATTTTTCAGGAGCTTCCATATGTTCGATATCGTGCTCCCAGGGAACGAGATGGATCTCCAGAAGCAACCCGCAGTTTAATTCCTTCAAAGCTTGCCGATTCTATTTGGCAATGTATTTCAAATTACAAATCTATTCCTAACTTCCCTCAGACCGAAACATGTGATTTGCTTATCTTGGATAGATCTGTTGATCAGGTTAAGAATACTTATTCTTGGCATCACTTTCTATTTCTGAGCCATGTGAGGTTGATTTTGTTGAATGATATGCCACTTTGCATTTCTCAGATTGCTCCAGTGATACATGAATGGACATATGATGCCATGTGTCATGATTTACTTGAAATGGATGGAAACAAATATGTCGTAGAGGTAAGTCGTCTCGTTAAATTGCATTTTCAGATTTTCTATCTGCCCTCCTTTTTCTGTTTCGAAATTTGATTGTATAACCCATGTTTCCTTAGCTTCCTGGCAAACATGGTGGCCCACCTGAGAAAAAAGAGGTCCTTCTTGAAGATCATGATCCAGTTTGGCTTGAGCTTCGTCATGCACACATAGCAGATGTATGTCTCATGCACTTGTATTCTCTTTTATCTGGAAAGAACATAACTATAACGCTCTTTTCCTCAATTGTCATGTTAGGCTAGTGAGCGCTTGCACGAGAAGATGACCACCTTTAAATCAAAGAACAAAGCTGCAAATATTCAGAGGTTAGTGGCTTCACTGCTGAACTTTGAGAAATTATAAGAAATCATGTATCTGACATAGTTATAGCATGTAAACTTATGAAAATTTTTACTCTTAATCTTAAGCTTGGAAATAGGCAGGAAGTTTGTTTTTTATGTGACAGTAACATCTCTTGTAAACTTCATAAATAGAATTTGTTCAGTGATATGGCCTGACACAAAGTACTTCTGTGTAATGCAGCGCAGTTTATCATTTTGTTTTCTTATTCTTCATTTTTCTTGATGTATCTTGTCCGACCTAAATTTAGACATGGATATGGAGATATGAAAATCAAGCACCCTCTAAATACATGAAAAAGATAAGAAAAAATATATACCTGTGTCAGACACATTATACCCAAGTCTCACGCTGAAACCCTAGTAACTCGGGTTTACAAACATGCATATGGTTAAAGGTGACAATTGCTTTTACTTTACATTGCATCTTATATCTCTCTACTGGTAAATTTAAGTTGTATAGGGATGCAACTATACCATAGATTCTTCTGTTGAAGTTAAGTTCATTGCAGAGATGGTGAAATGTCTACACGAGACTTGCAGAAAATTGTGCAAGCTTTGCCACAATATAATGAAACAGTCGAAAAGCTCACTCTGCATGTTGAGGTTGGCTTCTTATTGAATGCACTATTATATATTTGCGTCTGGGATGTATGTATCCATTCTGAAATTTATGACCTAAATAAGAGAAACCAATATGACTGAGTTTTAGCCACTAAAACTCTTACTTTAAGGACAAATAAAAGATACGACCACTATTTTCTTCAGGGTTCGTGCTCTAGCCTTATTGAGCTGTGTTCTTCACACATTTGAAAATAAAACCTGTCTCAGATCTTCACTCATGCATGGTTTTAACCTCAAGAAAAGACCTTAGCTTGATATACATTCAAAGTATTTGAGTAACGATAATAGGCAATTAAATACAGTTTTAAGGTGGTTGCAGTTCTTGAAATGCATGGTGCAGATACAAATATGATACTTTTGCAGATTGTGTTGACTTATCATTTCAATTACAGATTGCCGGAATACTCAACGAGTGTATTAGGGATATGGGGCTTCGTGATCTCGGGCAACTAGAACAGGATCTTGTTTTTGGAGATGCTGGATCCAAGGAGGTCATCAACCTTCTGAGGACAATGCAGGTAATGCCATGGATTGATGATCATATAACATTTTATATTGTATGATCGATCTTTACTTTTTTTTCTCTCTCTTAATATCTCACCACATTCAATATTTTAATCCAATACAGGACGCATCTACCGATAATAAATTGCGTTTGCTGATGATTTATGCTGTTGTGTATCCAGAGAAATTCGAGGGCGATAAAGCTACAAAGCTAATGCAGGTAACTACTGCAGTCCATTTAGTTGGTTATATTATGGAGAAACCATGGGCTTATGCTTCTAGTTATTAAAAAATGAACTGTTCTTGGCTTTTTTTTTTCTATTTATTCATCAGTTGGCTAAATTAACAACAGAAGACATGCAAGTGGTGAACAATATGAAATATCTCGGAGGACCACCAAAAAGTAAAAAGCAAAGCTCTGGTTTCTCGCTGAAGTTTGATGGTGGCCAAAAGGTAAACCGATAAGCTTTTAGATAACAGAGGAAATTAGAGTAGGATCCAGCATTCAGCCCATGAATCAATCCACATTCTTTTGGTGCCAGGCAAAAAATGCAGCAAGAAAAGACAGAACAGGGGAGGAAGAAGAAACTTGGCAACTGTTTCGATTTTTTCCTTTTGTAGAGGTTTGTTTAATAATGTCTTTCCGCATATTTGTTCTTGGCAAACCTCTAGGTAACTTATTACTTCATTGATATAATTATAACGACATGGTCTTAGCTGACAGTTTAAACATGGTAGGAGCTTATTGAAAACCTCAGCAAAGGTCAGTTACCAAAGGATGAATATTCATGTATAAATGAACCACCACCACCAAAGGCTGACAAATCCCACAGAGCGGCTCCTACACCTAATGGAAGAAGGCCTGCTCATTCTATGAGATCGAGACGAACACCAACTTGGGCAAGAGGTAACTGTTCCGATGATGGATATTCAAGGTAGCCTTACATCTATAAACTTCATCCTTTTAGTTAACTGGCTATAGAATATGCAATCCCCTCCAATGTTTGCGTTGGTCGCAATCTCAAACACCTAATTTTTTGTGGTGAATTTTTGTAGTGATTCGGTTTTGAAGAATGTAGTCCCTGATTTCAAGAGGATGGGACAACGGATTTTCGTGTTCATCATTGGAGGGGCAACTCGATCCGAGGTAAAAATTGCGGCTTGCTTTCTCTTATTATTACTGGCTTTGCATCAAGTTTTGAATCTCACCTAAACGTTTCTCTTGCTACCGGCAGCTAAGAGCATGTCACAAGCTAACAGCAAAGTTGAGGAGGGAAGTTATCTTAGGTTCCACTAGTTTCGATGATCCTCCACAATATATATCGGTAAAAGGACAACTTTTAATGAATCTATACATATGATTGCACTTCATCGTTGATTTTAACGAATTTATTATCTTAACGTTGCAGAAACTGAAGCAACTGTCAGAAAAAGATATCAACAAGGCGAAACCCCAGAATTGATGAGATTGAATCCCGGCTCGATTGCTTTTTGGCCATTGCCAGCCGGTTGAAGAATACTACCCTCCTTGTGGAGCTGATAACTCTGTCAGTTTCGATTGAGCAGTTTTACCTTACTGTGTGTAGCTAAAAGCAGTGCATCTTTAACCGATTGGATACAATGCCTATGTACAGTCATCGAGTCTTGTTGCTGTTCATCTTCATCGTTAAAAGGCAATTTTGCTGGCAGAGTTTTGATTGGGGACATTTGGATGCCCCAGGACTATAATATATAGCCAAAACTTTATCTATCATTTCCATTTTGCCATTGTTTTCCTCCTGAAACATTTAGATGGTTTAATTCAACTCACCAATTATTCGCAGGCATCAGCCACGCCTTAAATTAGCTTTAATGCGTGGATGCTTTATAGGTTCGTATATGATTTCATTTATTCATAAAATTATTGTAAAAAATATTTTATTATTTATATTTCTTTTTAAAGGACTTTTTTTTACACAAAAAGTTTAGGACATAGGTGGCTCCTCCAATACAAGGTTAGGGCATACCTAATATTCAATTGAGATTTACATAGGAATTTACAGATTAATCACCAAGAGCAATAGTTAATAGGATTTAAAATTAACCTTATAAGCTCAAATTATTGAATTCTAATCACTCGTGTCAACTCTTATTGACATTTTTTAAAGGATTTTTAATGTAATGTTAGTGTTTTTTTTTTAATATAAAGGTCTATACACTGACTGATCTTTTATTGAAACAAATTGATTAAAATTATAAATTTATTTTTTCCTATTTTACTTCGTTTTAATTATTTTTGAAGTTTTGCATTAAAAAATAGTTTTTCTCAAAAAGAAATTCAGTTGTGCACAGTGCACGACACGTGTACATAGATATCGATATTTCCACGCGGAGAAAGGGTAGAATAAAGTTGAAATCTCAACTCCGACACTTCCACTTCGCCTCAAAGCTTCGTCGTCCATCTGTAATTGCTATCTCTGGTATCGAAAAGAAAAGAAGGAAAATTGCTGTTATTTCTTCCCTCGCTAATGGAACCTGTTGTTGTGGTTGCGGTTCTTTCGGTTGTTCTTGGAGCTCTGATCGCTTTCATTTTCTTTAGAAATTATCTTCTTAAACAAAGATCCGAAGTCCAAGCCATTGCAAAACCGGAGCTTCATTCAGAGCCCAAAAAGCAATCAAAGCCGCCTCAATCTATCTCTAAAAAGTCTCACCCTAAATCTCATTCTCACGCCTCTGACAAGGTAATAATTTTTCACTTCTGTTGATTGTTGATGAAATTATAAAGTGATTAAAAACACAATTTGAAGTTTCATTTCTTAATTTTACTTCCTTAATTTTTATGCAAATGTAAACGAAAAAGTAAACAAAAAGAATTACTTACCCAAGCCATTTGACTTTTTCTTTGCTTTGTCCAGAATTTGGGAATTTTTTTTTTGTGTGTGATAATCTGATATTGCTAGGGTTTATTCTATATACATACGATAGGAAGTGACTCTAAAATACTTATGTTCTTATTACGCTATTTAGGATTCAAACAAGCGTCATCATCCATTGGATTTGAATACTCTTAAAGGTCATGCGGATTCGGTCGCAGGGTTATGCTTCTCCCCTGATGGTCATAATTTGGCAACAGGTAACTAAGAACTATAGGTGTTTTCTTTTAAAAAAATACTTGTATATTCATATTCATGAATGTTGCATTCTTAATTCGGCTTCCGTGTTTCTGCAAAGCTTGTGCTGATGGAGTGGTCAGGGTATATAAGCTGGAGGATGCTTCAAGTAAAAGTTTCAAGTACGAACATGAAGTACTTTTTCTAATAGTTATGACCTTGAGAGGATTGTCTCTTAATCTCATCTTGTGCTACTGTTGTGCAGGTTTTTAAGAATTAATCTGCCTGCTGGAGGTCATCCGCTAGCTGTTGCCTTTTCTGACGATGCATCTTCTATAGTTGTTGCTTCTCAGGCTATGAGTGGTTGTTCCTTGTATATGTATCAAGAAGAAAGACCGAAAACAACTAATGATCCCAAGCAGCAGACAAAACTTCCTCTTCCACAAATTAAGTGGGAACACCACAAAATCCATGACAAACAGGAAATCCTGACCTTAACTGGTGCTACTGCAAGTTATGGAACTGGAGATGGGAGTACCATTATCGCCTCTTGTGCAGAAGGTTGGACATTATCCAGATCACACAATATACATTTATATTTTACCAAAACAGTACAATATCTAATTCAGATCTAATATAATAACTCTTTGTTGCTTCTCAGGTACTGATATCATACTTTGGCATGGAAGAACCGGGAAAGTTTTAGGGCATGTCGACACTAATCAATTAAAAAATAACATGGCTACTATATCACCAAATGGCCGTTTTCTTGCTGCTGCAGCCTTTACAGCAGATGTGAAGGTAGAGATCTCTGAATTCCCTAGTATGCGTACCAAAGTATCAATACTATGATCAACATGTGTAAATTCTGAAGTTACATCTTAATATTTTAAGTTACTTATCACCAATATTTTGCTGAAAGTTTGAATTATGAATTTTTGATTGTGTCCATGGTCGACATGATGAGATTAACAAATCACAGAATGCATTACAGAATCCAATTGCACATTTATTTATTGGAATGTATTGGATATTGATCCCTATTTTGTTTAAATGACCATTCCATTTTCTTTGAATTCACACTATTTAGAAGCCAGGGCATGGATGTGCCTGCATTATAGAACTGAAGTGAGGCTTCCCCTTCTATAATTTTTATGAATATTTTGGTTCATATTTGACATTTATGTTGAAGATGCAATGTATCATGTTACATGGTGCAGTAAAGCAATGATAGTTCTGCATTTTGTCTTTCAGTTTTATTAGTGTGCTACTGCTAAGTATTAGTATTTGCTTTACCAGGTGTGGGAGATTGTGTATTCGAAGGATGGTGCAGTCAAGGAGGTTGTAAAAGCTATGCAGCTTAAAGGACACAAGGTATGTGATTTCTCTCAATAGTGCTTTCATTTGGTTCAATTACATATTTTCCATCATGCCACAAATTGCATTTTCTCTGTTATAGAGGTTTTCGGAAATTTTATGATAATTTATATAGGAGAACACTGGCCAGAGGATTCACTTTACGATTTACAAAGTCTTTTCACTTCTGTTTATGGTACTTAATACTGATGGAAATTGTGCTCTTGATTTAAATTATTTTGATCCAAATAGGAGAATGATTTTTAATTCGTTTGGACTTCTGTTGGCTAACCGCTAATGCATCTCGTATGTTCTTTTGCATGGCATATCAGAAATAAAGAAACAGGCTAATAGCTCTATGATTTGCCTTGAAATTTTCTTGTTTGTTCCTAAACTTTCCAATTTTTGTGTTTCTTTTTCCTAAATTTCCAGAGTGCGGTAACTTGGTTATGCTTTTCTCCAAACTCGGAGCAAATTATCACGGCATCCAAGGATGGTTCGATAAGAATTTGGAACATCAATGGTCTGTCTGCACCCCTTAGTCTTTCTCCCTCTTTTATTTACATACCATTTTCCATTCTTGATGAAGAAAAAAATCAACTTTATGATGGTTTCTTTTCCACCTTCAAAAGCAATGGGGACGGGGTTGGAGGTGGAATAAATCATCTTCATACATTTGAAAGACATGACTAATATAAAACCCTAAATGGTGTGCTAATTTACATTTTTTTGTGCCAAAGCTTACCCGGTTTGGTAGCTATTTCAGTTTCTTGTATTAATAGTTACTATTTTGTGCCTGCTGACTGTTCTAATTGATTTGTGAAGTTCGATACCATCTTGATGAGGATCCGAAAACTTTGAAGGTGTTTCAAATACCACTTCATGATTCAAGTGGTTCTGCTTTGCACTATGACCGTCTCAGCTTATCTCCTGATGGCAAGATACTGGCAACAACTCATGGTTCAACATTACAGTGGCTGTGCATCGAAACAGGAAAGGTCTTGGATACAGCTGAAAAGGCCCATGATGGTACATTCCAAGCACCAAAACATTTATTTTGTTGTATCCATACCATATCCTCACATATGAATCTATAGAAGGATGTCATACCTAACTTTAGTGCTAATGTTTTTCTTAGTCCTGATGCTCTATAATGACCATCACCCGAGTCGGGGCACTTCTTTCTTGTATGGTCGATTGACATTAGTTACAGGATACTATTTGTGATTCGGGCATTAAGCTTCATTTTATGCTGCAGGTGATATTACATGGATTACGTGGTCACCTAAGCCTATACCGCTAGGTAACTAGAATTTTCCGTTTGTGTGAGTTTATGTGATATCTATCTCCAGCTGCTTTTCTTACAATGAACATTGTTTACATAGGAAATGAACGAGTGGTGGTTCTGGCTACAGCAAGTGTTGACAAGAAAGTGAAATTGTGGTTAGCACCACCCGTAAATTCTTCATGAGCAACTCATTTTGCGTAGAATTTCGCGGAGAGTCCGGGCATAGTTGTGGATGCAGTTTTAATCTGCTCAAACAATCTTTAACATCAATAGAGAATTCATACTTAGCTCTTATGGAGTGGTCGAGTTGTTTGGAGCCAGATACGGAGGAATCTTTTCATGTGTGGTTGAATAGGGTTTTCATATTACTGTAATTTTGCTTACTTGAAAGTTTTAAAAGAGATGTGGTGGCTATGTAGCTCTTTTAACTTTTTCCTGAATGGTATTGGCCTTTTCTTCACAACTCACACGACTGGCAATTCTCCTGTGTTTATGAGTTATTTGACGTCACTTTTTTTTTCAAGGTGAAGATGTACGTATACATGATGACTTATTAACTATATAAAAAAAGCATTTAGGTATATGTATCTCATCACCATATAATTTAAAAATATTTAATGAAATTAACTAAATAAATTAATCTCAAAACCAAAAATACGCATCTTGAAAAAATTATATAAAACATTAAACCTAAAAATTTCGACAAATTTTATTTGGAGAACATGAAATTACTTAAATTACTAAAAAAATACAATAATTTGTTTATAATTGAATATCTTTTATATATATACAGTTAAAATTATAGTTAATATAAGAGTGTAGTTCTAACAGAATTGGTGCCACAATCCCGTAAAATCGATCTTTATGCTTAAGGTCTTGAGGTTTAAGTCTGACTAATAATGAAAAAACAATTTAAATCAGTAGGCTCTTCAGATAATCTTACTGAAGCATATTAAACAAAGTTTCAGGGTTGAAATCGAATATATATGTCCCAGGAATATAATGCCAAACATCTTAAAATTGTTGAAAAATAATTGAAAAAAATAAGTTAAATGTGACATTTCAACAACAATCCATTGTCGTCCAGTGGTTAGGATATCTGGCTTTCACCCAGGAGACCCGGGTTCAATTCCCGGCAATGGAATGTTTCTTTTAAACATTAGAACAGAAAAGATGGGGTTCCGCAGAAACGTTTTAGAGTACTTGCTTTGCTCATTCAGCATTTACAACTCTCTTTTTCTTCTCCTTTTTTAAATTGGAAAGCAGTTGAGAAATGGCAGGGCAGCTCAGTTGCTTGTAGTGTCGATGCCTGGTTAATCTGTGTTTTTAGTTGAGCCAACATTCTTGTTGCAAAACAAATTTCCATCATCTTTTGAAAGTTGAAATCGAAACAAGTTCCTAGCTATCTTCCTGTTGCTTTTGTAAAGCCTTCACATCAGATTGAAATCCCCAGGCCAGGATGGCATAACACATTAAAATTATACTTTGGCCATTCAAAAATTTATAATTTAACTTTGAGCCCTAAAATAGTTTCTGTCTTCACCCCTAAACATACGATGATAGCTTGGATCAAAACTTGTACCCTTATCTAAAATGGAAGTTGAAACAAGTATCGGATCCTTCCCATTTTAGTGGAACCAGAACTATTATTCTGCAAATCATTTACCACCAGAATGTCCTCATCACATAGGTTGTTGATACTGGAGGGCCTTTGTTCTTGGTGTAGTACCAGCATTCTATTTGACGAGTTGTAGCTGAGTCATGAGCCACCATCACTTAATCTTTCTATGCCAGGGACATGATTATATTAACACCCCTACTCAACCTGGATGAACAACTTCTCATAAGGCGAGAGACCACCAAGAGCCTTCGTTGGCAGGTGGCAGACTATTGATGACTGTACTTCACTTATAACAGCATAGGAACGTAAGGGCAAGGAAGCCTTAAACTAAAAGGGATAGAGCTAGCTCAATTACATATCGATTATTCCATTTAACAACCCCGTTTTGCTCTGAGGTATGCAGATAAGAGAGTCGATCACCAAGGATTGTTGATAAAGTACGATATTCTTATTCCCAATCGCTCTATACTTTTGTATTAAACTGTGTATGAACAACTTATGATTTATCTTTTACCAAATACAACCAGTTGTTTCGAGTAAAAGCATCACATAATATAAGAATTATTCGATGACACATCGCAGGACCCCATGAATTTGAAAACAAGGACGAGTGACAGATCGTGTAAAACCTATTTTTCCACATAACTGATATTATAACAGACTACGACCATGACCTCTATGGACCCAAGGGAGGCGGGTGGGGATAGTCACCCCTGTATTTTAGATATTTTTTTTTGTATTTTTCATTGATAATTTGTTTTTGCCCTCCAAAACTGTTATAAGTTCGTCTCTACTAAAATTTTATAGGTTCACCCCTGAGGAAAACCGTGTATCCGCCCTGCCTCCAACTCCCTGATGCAATTGATTTACGATAAGATTATTGAGTGGAATATCAAAAGTTGATTGTTAGGCATTTGCATCAATTAGAACTGCTACAACACCAGCAACCATGAAAGGTTTACGACTTGCTGTGATAACGTATGCCTCATAATCCCAATCCCCAAAATTAATTATAGTAAAAGTTAGAACACTAAAAAAAATAAAACCAATAATAGACCTTTATATTTTTAGGATACTCAAAATAATTTTAGAACAAAAAATTTGTTTCAATTTTCGATTTATTAATATCAATTAAATCCTTTTAAAGATTTATTTGTTAGCTTGAAAAGGTATTTAAGTGTAATAAAACTATAAAAAAAATATTGTTTTTGTATTATATTTTAATAAATTTTCAGCGAAGGAAAAGAAGCAGTTAAAAACTTGCTCCAACGTTCTCAATCCCTCCTATGGCATTGACACCACCAACAGCCCCGTTTGGCGGTAATGAAGTTGCCGTTTGTTTTAACTAATAAAATTATATATCTTTCTTTTTAAATTTTTTTTAAGGAAAAAAAATAGGCAACAGAGGTTGAGATTTACGAGCGAGAGAAGAAGAAGGAAGAAGGCGATGGCGATGGCGAATTTGGTCGTAGGTCTCACCACCTTCTTCGTCCTCATAGCTCTTCTTGCTATTATAGGTTATCAGGTCAGATTCTCTTTTCCCCCTTTTTTTTGTATCCAATGTAGATCGTATGTTTTTAAACCAAAAATTGCAATTATTTTAAAATTTTTGTTGCAGTTGATGTGTTTGGCGGATTTGGAATTCGATTACACTGATCCATATTATGATTCGGCGTCACGGATAAACAAGGCTGCCGTGCCGGAATTTGTAGTGCAAGCCGTCTTCTGTGTCGTCTGCTTATCGTCGGGACAAGTTTTTTTGTGCTTCATGTCTCTCCCATATTTACGCTATAATATCAAATTGTAAGTTCATATATATATATATAGTCACTAATCCTTTCAAATTATCCTGTTCGCGTGTTTGTATAATCTGATATGAATTTGAAAATGAACGAACAGGTATAGAACGAAAAAGCATTTGGTTGATGTCAACGACTTGTTAAATTTAATTATCTTAAATTCATTTTTGTCGTTTCATCGACACTTTATATTTATTTAATTATTTATGCATAAATTGTATTTTGGGCCATTGTCAATCGATTCCCTCTCACATCTGATTCAGGTTGCTTCGTACGGTTGGAATTGATGATTGTTAAAGAGAGTTTGGTGAATATTCCACCTTGTTTTCAGGTACGATCTATAAGATTTTTATTTACATATAAATTAGATAAATTACATATTTAGTATATATATTATTAATTTTATTTCATTTTAATACCTAAATTTAGGTTTTTAAAATCATACCTAACGTTTAGTTTAGGTTTCAATTTGGCATATTGTCATTAAAAACTTAACGGTGACGTCGACGTGTCACCATAAGATAATGTTATATAATCATTGAAAATAAAAATAAATAATAAATCATGTCAATAGTTCTATTAATTTTTTAACAACAAATACCAAGTTAAAACCTAAACTACGTTAGGTATGAATTTAAAAAAAAATTAGATCAAAATGGAACAAAAATAATAGTTTAAATACTAAACATGTAGTTTGTCCTATAAATTAATGTTTAAAAACCTGTTTTGAATGGTCAAAGATGATTACAAGGTAATTTTGTTCATAAATTTTATTTACCAATTGATAACGCACATGCTTTAAATGTCTACTTAAACTCAGGACCTTTAGAGAGAATAATATTCTCTTTTATCATTAAGATCACTTGATGGTTAAAAACTTGGGCATACAAATTAAAATTTAATGATTTTCAATGTCGAGGATAAATTAAGATTCTTCTGCAAGGAAAAAACCAAAAGATGTCTGCCTGAAACATTAAAACCTAGGCGAATACCAGAAACTTACATTATCCTACAGTAATATTCAAGAACTCAGACTCCTCTCTTTGTCCAAGGGAACATAGGATCGAGATGAATGATTTGCTAAGTTATAAAACTAAATTGCGGGCAAAGATATGTTGATATCAGTTGCTGAATTTCTTGGCTCCTGTATGTTGGCCCAATTTCCTGTTCTGAAACTAGCAGTAGCAAAGTTCTGTTTCGAGGTATTCGAATTTTGTTGCGAATGTTGTACGTCGATGCCATCCTCTTCTTTTTCTGCATTTGATGCAGGTTCGTGGACCTTGTTCGGGTTCAATGCAACAGCATCTGGTACGGACTCGTTTCTCTGCTTCTTGGACTTTTGGTCGTGCTGGTAGCCCGGTAGAAAACTGCCGACGACAACCTGATAATTCGACGAAATATTAGCCAACACGTTCACTACCAAGATGCAGGAAATGTTAGGACGGCCAAAGATCAATTCCGGTGTTATTGCTAGGACTATTGGCTCTACGTTAGAGTAGTGGGCTTACCTGTACAGGACTAGCAGCTACAAGAAGGCCAGCAATACCTCCGCCTACAACACGTCCATCGGGGCTCGCCAATGAGACGCTCATCCCACCAGATCGACTTCTTGTTCCCTGAGTATTTCCGTAGGCATGAAGGACCCGGACAAGGAGAGTATCTCAAAACGACCCTACAAGAAAATAGGTTAGATAAGTGTTTCTTTTGAGGATAGAATCTTAGTTGTAAGTAGATGAACCGTAGTCGAGCATGATTGGATCCTCTAATGTACCAGATAAGTTAATAAGACTATGGTTTAAAGAATTGTCTCTTCCGAGATCCTATCTTCTACAAGAGTTTGCCATATTTATGAGCATATCATTAACATTCCGTACATAATTTACGTTTAACATATGGCTTCAAACCATATCATGTTCGTGTCGCCGGAATAAAACACAACATCGATACACTACAGCTTTTGCAATAATAACAACCTTTGCATTCAGTATTCGATAAATTTTAATCAGAAACTGGACCTATTTTGAAATGTTATGGTAATCTCTAATTTGCCTAACCTCATACGTAACCGTACCACCGGAAGAATCCGGCTGACGAAGTGTAACGTTAGAAATTACTCCGTGAGTGGATAGGATGCAAATGGCTCTTGGTCCTTGTTGAGAAAACGACATCACCTTCATTGTTACATCCTTAAACACCAAAGAAAATCAAGATGATGAATAATTTAGATTCACTGATAGGTGAAAAAGAAACCTTCCTTGACAACAATCTCATAGTTCAAGAAGCAAATAACGATGATAGGAATGAATCATAAGATTGTTTGCTTATATAATTAACAAAAACCATCTCTTTCCCGTATAGGAACATACCTCACCGGGATTGACAGTGATGATATGCGGCGTAAAATTTGTTCCGACACGAGTCCCAGCCAAGTCACCTACAAAACAATATATAATCATGGAATTTTGCTGTTAAAAGTACAAAAAATATTTGCGATATACACCAATCATTCCCGGAACCAGCATGTTCTTCCAAATCCGAACAACGGCATTTTCTATAAAGCCCCACGAAATCACAAATTGAACTTAGTTTGAGGCATACTATGAAGAAACAGAAATCAGAAGCATTAGTAAATCTATAACATGGCAAAACTTGAAACCGAAAACAGCTTACAAAAACCTGAACTAAAAGAAACAAACTTCCTTCGAAAGGGTGACCTTCATTACCTAAGTTCTCCATGTCCATTCCCTTATGATGTTTAATCTGATAACCACTGCCTCGGCCTCTCCCCTGCTTTCCACCACTCAAGAACTCACTCGAAACAGGCAAGACGGAGGACGAAATAGGCATAGGTGACAATGCCCTTGTCATTGTCCCATCCGGTCCATATTTCCTAGGCCTACCTCTTTTCTTCTTCTCTGTACTACCAGTTAATATATAGCTAACTGGCGGAACATTGACAACCGTTATTCCACCAACGATCTGGTCGGCATTTTCAGTCCTTGGTGCCATATGACAAGCTGATGGAGCTTCTGCTCCTATCACTGTAACACCTGAATTTGTTTCCATGCATATATTGCAAACCAAAACTATGCACTATAACTATATCAATACTTGCAGATTCAAGGCCAAACCACCTACAAAACATAAATTCATCAATCAAAAACCATATATATATATGTATATATTTAAAAAAGGGGGAAAATTAAGTCTAAGGCATTTGGGGGAGCTAAAAACCTCTAAATACAAAGATCATCTGAAAGAAAAATAAAATAAAGAGCATGCAAAGATACAAGTGAAACTGCTAATACTTAAAGCTCAACTTTTTGTTAGTTCGCAGATCAGTTCCTTAAGCCATATTAAAAAAAAGACTCAATTTTGAAAATATACACCGAAACAAATTACAGACATAATAACCTAAGAAATATTTTCCCTATCTTTTCAAGCATTCAGTTTCATCTCGAAGAAAGAAAAGAAAAGAAAATCATTAACCTTTTCACAAAAAAAAAGTATATTAAGAAAACTTTGAAGTTAACAGATGTTTACACGTAGAGATCATTAACCTGTAACTTATAAATACAGCCCAGAAAACTCTTCACTGACACCACATTTTTCCTGCACTGAAGCAAAGTACTTTCAAAACCATTTTCTAGCCAACCAAACAGAGAAGAAATGTGAATTTGCTGAGAAACTGTTTTCTGAAATCCTGGTCTGAACAAAGGGGGAAATGTGAAAAAAAAATACAAAATATGAATGAATAAAGAATTGTTTTAAATGATTATTAATTAGTAGGTAAAATTGATAACCCACAATAAATAAAATTTTGGTTAATAAGGAATTTCACGTCGGTTCGGTTGGGGGAAATTGAATATGAAAAATTAATTAAAATGGAGTAAAACAGTAATTTGGTCAAAAGATGTGGGAAATAGTTATTTTTATTCAATAAAATATATTATCTTTGTGTTTTAAAGCTGCAAAGTTAGCGTTGGAGGGCCGACCGCTGACCTGCTTTTTGTGTTGTTTTGTCAAATTAAGAATTTCAACGTCTCATATTAGATTGTAAATGAGTTGTATATAGTTCTAATATTGTTGAACTTAATTCAAATATAAATAGTTTAAATTTGAGTTTAATTTGATACGAAAACTCATAAATTTAAAATTATTAAATTTGATTTTAATTTAAAATTAGAAAATGAAGTTCGACTCGAAAGGTTGTGAGCTTAAAATTTTTAAGTTTGACTCAATCAAAAATTAAAGCTCAACTCGAGCTCAAAAAATCTTGAACTCAAAAATTTCTCAGACTTAATTCGATTGAAGTTCACTCAAGTTTTGTTCAAACATATATTGTCATAAAAATATATATAAATGTTATTATTATTAATAATCTAATTTACAAAAATAAAAATATAATATATTTTAAAATTATTTACGAGTTTTTTTGAATCGAATATTAAGTAATTAGCTTCAGCTTATTAAGAACTAAAATCAATTATTTAATTTGAAAATTTATCAAACTTTAATATAATCAAATTCTAATAGTTCGTGATATATCTTGTTTAGACTCAGATTAAGCTCTTGTCTTCTTGTCTTATTCACTCACGGTTGTCACTTTTTGTCCGGTCCAGAAATTTAAAATACAACAAACCGGACCGGTCTATGATCATGAAATACAATACAATAAACCGGAGCTTCTTTCTGATTGGTTGGCGTTTTTCTGAGTTCGTCACTTGTGGGTGATATGAGTTTACGTGACGGTAGAATATGATTGGATACTCTGACACGAGACCGTCTGTCAGATGTGCAATTATGTGATTGGGTGTGATTTTAAGCAGTGTGAAGATCTTTCATGCGCGACATGGTCAAATAAAATCCTGACCTAAGTTCGGTTGATCTTGTAAAGTTTATACTTGTCCGAAATATGCCTTGTTTGAGATACTTCCACGTTGTCATTAGCGCACATGCATGTGTTTTGATAAACTAAAATATATATATATATATATATATATATATATATATATATATAAATTAGTACAAATTTTAAAAGTATTAAATTTGTATGTTATAGGTTTAATTGAAAATATATATTTTTATATATTCATTAATCGTTGAAATAGTTAAAGATATTCATATTATCACACATTTTGTACGTGTTTAAATTCTAACATTTATTTTTAAAATATAATATTTAAAGTATATATCCTATATTTATGTTTTCAATATGTTTTTAGTCACAAATATTTAAAATATTTATTTTTATCTAAATATTTAAAATATTGTTATTAAAATAAATATTTAAAGCATATCATACTTTTTATTTAAATATATAAACACCTATTTAAATATTTTT